TAGAGTGAAAATGTGTGGTATTTCACAAAGTTAAAGCAGCCTTACTCTAGTAAGTTAGGCTCGTTTTCGGCAAGCTCTCCTCCACTAAGTGTCCTTGAGCAAGACATTGAACCCATTATTGCTCTTGATGTGGTGTCATCAGTGTGGAAATGTGTTTGAATGTTGGCCTAAATGGGTGACTGAGACATATTTTGTGCTTTGGATGTTGAAAAGTGCTATATAAATGCAGTCGATTTATGTCACTGCAGTTTTTACTGAGTAAAGTTTATTCCCTTTTTAGTGTCTGGCCAATTCTACTGTAATGTTTCTCCACCGTGCATACACAATTCTGCACAAGGGAAGATGCATTTATTAAATAAAGAGGCTATCAAAGGATTAGGAGGTTGTAGTGGTAGAGGGATGGGTATTGTATCTCAAAATACTGGTGAAAAGTAGCAAGTTAGCCATTAGCCAAGCAGCTGGGAATGGATAAAGCCGCAGGACGTGTGCTCTGCAAGGCTAACTCAATGCTTCATTTTTCTTGCAGAACTAATTAAGTTCTTCAATACATGTTATAAGTGAGGTTGATTTAGTGACTCAGTTTTCTTCCTTCATGAATTTTTTTAATGAGATCTACTAATTGAAATGGCAAATTGATAATTTAGTATCAACTGAATATAACTGGAAGTACATTTTATATGCAATATAACACAGGTCAAAAATAGCTAATTTTCTAAAGATGTTTCATGTAAATTTGGGTACGAGTGTTACCAAATCACATGGTGTGTTTGTATGATTACAGAAGGAATGGCTGTGTCTGAACTGCCAGACTCAAAGGGCTTTGTTGGGACAACTTGGAGACTCCACGCCTTCACCTGCATCTGCGAAGCCAGAAACCCAGGCCACACCTGCAATCAAAAAGGCAGAGCCTACACCTGCAGCCATAAAATCACAGGCCAGACCTGCCCCCATCAAGGCAGAAGCGATTCCAGCCCCAAAGATGGATCCTACATCAGTCAAGATGGAAGCAACACCTACAGCAGCTTTAACCCAAATCGAGCACAAGACCATAGTCATACCCACAGCAGCAAAAAGTTCCCCTGTTACAGAAGAAAAACAGCCTCCAGTATTATTAAAAGCAGAACCAACTATGGCTACTCTAAAAAAGACAGCTGCACCAGTAAAAACTGATGTGCCAAATGCAGATATCCCTAAAACTGTATCAGTGGAAACTAAAGAACATGAAGTGAAAATGGATTTCGGCCGGGGTGAAATTCCCTTATCTGAAAAGTCTGAACCTGAAAAAGTCAAAACTGAAGCAAGTATCGCTGCAGCTTCTTTTCCCCCAGTGACAGAGGCTACAGTTGTGTCCACCTCCCCTCTTGCTGCAGAGACTGCTCTGGCTGGAGTTCCAGTTACTGAAGTAAAGTCAAACCCTCTCTCTGCTCCAGAGACAATTATTAAAGGAGAAAAGCCTGATGATGATGTCAAACAGGTAGAACCAACTAAATCTGTACAGCAAATTGAGGTGCAACCAAACACAACACAAGAAAAACTGTTGGTATTAGAGGCAGAACCAGTGACAGAGGCAGACAGCAAGATAATGGCAAATAAGTTGGTTGAAAAGATTGTTGTCACTTCAACTCCAGAGATGACAGCAGTATCTACAAAAAGCATCATTATTAAAGTAAGTATGGGTCATTTTCATAAAAACAATTTTTCATAAAATCTAAATTATCAATTGTTTATGTTGTCCTAATAAAATGCTTATCATAACATATTTGGTTGTGTTTGTCCTGGTTTTTTTTTTAGGACCAAGATGAGACCAAAAAAGAGCCAATAAAGGAAAGAAATGTCGCCCCACCGACTGGGGAGGTGCTTCTAATGGCTACTGGGCGCAAATCTAAAGAAGAGGAACATGATGATCAACCCCAGATTCTACCTATATTACAGGAATTAAAGGATGAGCAGGTGGTTAGTGACACAAGGGAAAATGATACAAATACAGAGCCATCCATGCCAGTAAATGAGGAAGCTAAAGCTGAAAGAAGGCGTCTAAGTTTCCAAGCAATCAATCAAAGCAGTGAAAGTGACCTCACACCATCACCCTCACCTAGGTTCCAAAGAAGGAGGCTAAAGGTGACAAAGGTTTCATCTAGTGAAAGTGAGGACATCAAAACTGAAAGCCCTGACTCCTCTGCTGAAGATGAAGAGTTTATCCGCAAACAGATAATGGGTATGGGTGATGAAGAAGAAATGTCTCTTTCAGACGATGAGAAAGGAAATGATTTGGCAAATGAGGGAGTTTTCAAGGAAGCAGAGCTTGATAACACTACAGTGACAGCCAAACCACTGTTTAGAGAAGGTAGCATAGACAATGAAGACAACTCAGCAGGGAAAATAGCTCTCCCAAAAACTGGCACTGCGACTGCTCAAGATGTTCCTGAAACAATGCCCAGCACTGCTTTCAGGAAAGCCATCCCTGCCATGAGACAGAGACAAAGCACTGATGACGAAGTAGAGAGCATCACAGAATCTCTGTCAAAGGGATCATCTAGTGTTCAGGTATCTAGCTTTACTCCAGGATCTTCACCTACATCAGCCTCATCACTTGAGGAGGATAGTGATAGCAGCCCCAGTCACAGGAAAGTCAGTGGGGACAAACGGCATCGAAAAGGTAAGCACAGGCAGCCAACCCAGCCTCTCCCAACTATTGAAGACTCATCTGAAGAAGAGAAGTTTAAGAAAGATAAAGATGAACTTAGAGCCCATGGTCAACCACTGTCTCCGACTGAAGATGTTTCCTCCACAGAGGATCTGAGACCATATGAAACCAGCAGACCAACTGACTCTGAGTACTATGCCAGCATAGAATCAGAAACAGAGGTTCGACAAGCTGTACAGCGAGGACGTAAGCCTTCACCAACAGTGATACCATATACTCCCACTGATCCATTTAATGAGAGTGAGGCTGTGACAAAATCATTGAAGAGTGCTGAAGAAGCATATGAGGAAATTATTCAGAAGACAAAATCAATACCAGGGGAGAGTCCTCCTGATATTGAGCCACTCTATGGAGGAATGGCAATTGAGGACTATCTTTATGAATCCTTAGTCGAGGAGCCTGATATTAAGTTGAGTGAATCTCAAGAGGAAGAACCCACACAGAGTACTGGCTTTGAATCGCTCAAAAAACTAAGGTCACCTGAAGAGGTTTATGAGGAGATGATGCAGAAAAAAAGAGAATTGATCATGATAGAGCAAGAGTTTCAGCAGGCCCAGACTGCCATGGAATGTTCCCCTACAGGGGCTTTAGTCTTTGGGCCTCCATCAATTTCTGAGACCTGTGTGGTAACTATGCCTATGGAGGAGACATTCCTCACTGAACAAACTGATATGCCTATTACAGGCACTGAAACTCTCAGTGAAGTACCAGCAAAGAAAAAGAAACGGCCTGCTCCACCCCGCCCCTCTGAACCCCCTAAGCGCTCTGATGTGACTGTTCACTGTACCCCAAGTGTATCTATAGGTTTTGTCAGGCCTATGGTTCCTCAAGATCCTGCACTCAGAAAAGCATTGTTCCCCATACCAGACCTCAAGATAACTCAGTGTTCATCTGGGGAGGAAGAGGATGACAGTCTTGCAGATGAGTATGGTGTTGGCATTTCCTCTGACATTACCCCCAGTGATGACTCTGAGACTAAGGAAGATCCATCAATAAGTCCAACTTTGTCTGAAATCACTGATGTTGAGCCTATCTGTGTGGTCTGTGAAATTCCAGAGCCAAAACCTATTCCAACTCCAATATCAGCCCCTGAACTCACCAATACACCTTCCCCCGTATCACCAGTGTCGCCTCCAACTTCACCCGCCACTCCAGATTCTAGTTTGGTTTCTAATGCTACTTCTTCATCCCCATTCCAAGCTCAAACGCCTCTTTCATCAGATTCAACTCCACTGTCTACACCAACACCTCCAACTTCATTTGTAACACAATCACCTGTAGAGGTCTTACCACCATCACCTGCCACAATTAGAGTAGTACCGTCTAGTGGGGACTCAATAGTTACAATACCAGATGTGGTGTCTGATCCATCCAAAGCTCAAACCACAGCAGTAGTTCAAGTTAAGCCTTCTACCACTATACTACCAACTCAAATCCCAGTGGAGATGTCTCCTGTACCTGTTGTGGTCCAAATGCCAGACTTAGTTTCATCTCCATCTCAGTTGCCGATGGAGGCACCAGCTGTCATACAGACTTCAGCACCAAGTCCAGGACCTGCTGTTGTCTCAGCTAGACCAACAGCCCTAGTTACAGCGACACCTGTGACATTCTCTACTCCAGCTTCAGGTCATGTTGTGTCTGGTTCTGTCACTCTGGCCTCATGCCCTGGTCCAGTCATTGTCCAGATGCCTGACCTGGTTTCAACTACATCTCCAATCTCTGCACAAACCCCACTACCAGTCTCAGCCCTTGTAACAACACCTGCTAAAGCCCAAGCCAAAGTGGTACACTCAGTCCCTGTACAATCAGCTGTAGCATCAATGAGCCCAATGGTCGCCCCAGCTCTAACTCAAACAGGCCAGTTGCCTGGATCTGCTTCGGCATCAACTACTATTGTCAAAAAGAAGGTCCCCCCCCCCCACCCCCTCGGTCTACATCCGTGTCATTACCGGAGCCTAACACAGAACTGCCACTTGTAAAGACTCTACAGCGAGTCACACCTGCTATGACCACTACCGTAGCTATGGAAACCACACTAGCTGGCCAGCCTATGCAGTCTGTAGTTGTGGATATACAACCAAGAATGGAGGATATGCAATCAGATAGTGTGGCTGTACCGCATATAGTGACACCAACCAGGCAAGGGCATGTAGTCATCATAGTGCCCAGTGGGGAAAACAAATCTGTGTTTGGACGAGCCCCACAAAATATAGCTAGCACAGGGTCAATAACTTCAACTGCTTCTCTGCCAAAAGGTACTCAATTAGCCACAGACCATGTTTCAGATATACCCAGTGCAGTTAAAGCTTCTCCATCGACGTATGTGTCATCTGTGCCAGTAGCTTCAGCTCCACCACCTCCACATAAACCTTTGGTAGGAACCACAGCTGTAGACACAGTAGAAATTCCTGTAGCAGATACACCTCCTCCTACATTACCCAAGTTAACTACACATCCAAAGTCACCAGTTCCCACTCCAGTATCAATTGTACAGCAAAGCACAACACCAGGACCACATAGTCAAGCTGCCAAGCCTCCCCCACCCATACCACCGAAGCCTTTATCAATTCCAGCTGGATTGGTTTTCAGCCACAAGCCAGGAGAGAGTGTCAAGCCCCCTCCTCCTGTAGCCCCTAAAGCCGCAACACTGCCCAGGACCAAAGAACCTCCAAATGCTCTGTCACTTAGCATAACACGACCTGTGGAGTCTAAGTTTGGTTTGATGTCTCCCAAGTCACCCCTGTCTCCTAGACATGCCAAATGTTTGCAAACCTATGTGGTGATAACACTTCCATCTGAGCCTGGCTCACCAACAGAGAGTATAACAGTCCAGGCACCTATAAGAAGAGGCTCCATTCCAGCTGCAAGAGTGTCAGGGGTACAGACCACACCTTCAGAGCAGAAAACACCTACTGAGGAATTCTCAGCACAGGATACAGTGAGAAGAGCCTCTATCCCCACTGTAAGGCATCCACCTCCAATACCCGCATCACTAACTTTGTTTATAGAGGGGGTCACAACCTCTGAGGTAGTCAATGGTAAAGGGCAAACTAAGGAAGACTCTGTGTCTTCTGTAATACAACCATCTATGGCTGATGTCATCACAGTGTCATCAGATCAGGACACATCCATTCAGGTACATAGTGTACCTCTTCCAATTAAGAAACCATATGTGCAACAACAGCAATCAATTGCCCAGCCACCACCACCACCATCTAAAACAACATCTGAAGTCATCACAATGCCCCCGGAGCCAAAGGTTGTTATTCAACCACAAACAGTCCAAGCTGCAGCGAGAGTACAGTCTATACCATCTGTTGCTCAGGTCACAACAGCTCCTCCACATATTTCAAATGAAACACCAGTTCCACATGCCCCAATATCAACTGTACCTGTGCAACCCCAGCCACTGACAGAGGTTATTGTTGTACCACTGCAGCCTGTTCTACCTTCGGATACACTGGTTCTCCAAGATAGACCATCTGCACTGCCCACAACGTTTCTTTATCCACAAGTTGAAACTCAAATAGAAATACCACAGAAAGAAGAAGATATACCTGCGGATGTCATTGTCACTGAGGGCCAAATAAGGCCGTTGATACCTGGAGTAAGCCAGCAAATTCCTGCTGAAGAGCAACTTGCTGTTGTTGAAGCAGTGACAGACCAAACATTGCCAGCAAATACTTACACCATTGCTGAATTCACATCAGTACCACAAATTGTTCAGCCTTTACACATTCTGCCCATAGTGACAGAGCAGCTATCTATGCAGCAACCCCCGCTTGTAGCCAGTGTGGTCACTGTTCCCATACAGTTTGAATCACTCACTGAGGTTCTTACAATGGATTCTGCTATTAGAATACCGACAACAGCATCTCCAGTACCACAAACTCAACCTGTAACAGCTGAAGTCACCCCGACACCTGAAGTAACTAAGTTAATTCCCTTGACCACACTTGATAGAATGATTATTCCCACAGTCCCTCAAGTAACACAATCACCTCTTTTGATGGAAGTCCAACAAATGGCAGTCCAGCCAGAAGTACCCCCTGTTATACCACAGGTCTATGGAGCAATTCAGTCCTCAGTCATTTCACATTCAATGCCACCACTGGAGGTCATTGCAATGAAGCCTGAACATGACACACCCATGGAAATTATAACAAAGAATGTTGATGTATGCAGAGCTTCAATACCAGCAACTGTGCCAATTGGAGTTATTGCAACAGAGGAAATTACAAGTAGGAAGAGGACATCTATATCATCCACGGTGCAGCCACTACACACATCAAGTGAGATATTTTCATATCCTGTCGAATATGATATGCCCACACAGGTGGTTACAACTGAGGCCTTTGCTGCCACCAGGAGAGAATCCATAACAATGCAGCAACCACTAACATTGGCACAGGTAGTAAATATGCCAGCTGAAAAAGATATTTCCATTGATGTTTATGGTGTTCAGGTTCCCTACAGGAGAGAATCCATTCCTTCTTTAGAAGAACATCCACAAGTGTTAACTTATTTATCGAAATATGATCAGCCTCTGGAGATAATCACAGATGCATACAGCAGGAGAACCTCATTGCCCAATGTACAGGACATTCCACAGAGTGTGTCTGGGACCCCAGTCACCATAACAAAAATTCAGCAAGAGTCTATTGAGAGCCAAGAGATTCGTGGACCAGAAAAGGTTGTCTCAAGTATGAGTCACATGTATTCGTCTTCAATTTCAACTTCAGGTCAACCCCCTGAAAGCCTGCCCAGCCTGGTCACTCAGGTGGTCACGACTGAGGTCCAGAGGACTACTGTCTCTGTTGTCCATGAAAGACTTCCACAGGTCCCTCCACCCAGTGTAGCAATCACTATACAACCAGACATAGCTAAAGTCCAAACTCTGCCAAAAAAGAATGGGAAGATAATATATCCTGGTGATGTTATCGATTTACGTACCATGAAGGTTGGCCTAAGGATGACGGAACAAGGCATGGACCTGTCACAACCTGAGTCACGTCGACAGTCTTTCTCTAGTGACTCAAGTGGGCGACAAATCACAGCAGTGCAGCCTGAGATAGTAAATCTTAGTTCAGAGATCACCCCTACAACCACATTGTCGGTTGTCACTGACAGTATCACAATAGTCACATGCACAGCAACCATTGCCTCATATAACAACACTCCAGCAGAGAAACCTCTTGATTTACAGGGCCCTGTGACATCATTACCTCTGCCTCTCACCACTTGCAAACCATTTGAACCACTTGCACAGATTGTATACAGACCTGTGAATTCTCAGCCCTTGGTCAGTTCAGTAGCATCTAGAGCTCAGGACATTCCCATTAATCTCTCTTTTGGAGCACTTGTATCTTCAGAAGTCCAACAGCCACTGACTTTGACCCCAGCTGCTATCAGCAATGGAGGCCCCGTGCTTTCTCTAGAAGCTACAGGGGCAATGGATCTGTCAAACTACAGACCAGTGAGAGCTATGGTAGCTTTGTCCGGCACAAGCCCAGGAGTGGTGACCACCGTTGTAGAAGATGATGGGACTCCAGTTGATCTCACAGCTAGTCGGAGGAGTGTATGCTGTGATGTAATTTACAAGCTACCATTTACAGGAAGCTGCAGAACACAGCCACCGGTTATAACCCAGCCAGACAACCGTTTTGGTTACAGAGATGACCACTACCAATATGACAATGCTGGAATTTATGGTATCAAAGGCATGAATAGGGTAAAAGCATCAATGTCTGAGACCAACCTGACAGAAGCAGGACTCTTCTCCCATGATTCCAAGGATGACTATGACTATCTCAGTGGATCTTCAGATGGTGCTATAGACCTCACTGCTGCTAAACTTTCTCCTGGTGAGTATTTTTGGGTATTTATGCATGTGTGCATGTTTTATTGCCATGCTCTGTGTACATTTTGTGCTTGCATTTGATTATAGATAGATGATAGATTATAGATATAATAGATTTGAAACTTCTATGTACAAAGTGTCTTAGCCTATAGTGTTAGAGCTCAAGACTTTGCTTTCTGAAGATATGTGTGGCTGTTTCCATTAAAATGCATGCTTTCCTTAAAAGTTTAATTTACTTTGCTGTTTGATATGCATGTTATCATTAAATATTAACAGCTGCTTGTTTTTCTTTTTTTCTGTCTTTCTTTTGTCTTGATACAGATGCATGTATGTGCCTCCGTGTGCTCCCTCAATATTTTGGCTTTGCATCTTGCTAGCCAAAATGACTGCAGATATGCATGTGCTATGGGAGTCTTTTTAAATCAATGCTGCATGACCTTCAGCTGACATACAAAACACTATGTTTGTATAATGTATTTGCTAAAATTATTATTATTATTATTGTTATGGCAGGTAAAGCACTTGACTACACTAACAAAACTACTGGAGTCTACCATGGGATGACTACTGATCCATACTCCCAGATCCCTGCAGCTGCTTTTGGTGTTAATAGTGCTCTAAGAACCTCAGATGGAATTGTTTACTCCTCAGTCTCTGCGCCAGTTCCATCCACGTATGCAATTACAACTCAACCAGGCTCTGTCTTTAGCACCACCTTTACACCTACATCAACAGTCCAAAACCAGTCAGTGCCATATCCATATGGCTTAATTCCCACTACAGACCCAGGACAGATCATTCCTTTTGACACAGGCCTACCTAAGGAGCTTCTACCCACAGCTTTAGCTGACATTATAACAGGCTATCCAGAAATGTACTCTGACACCACTCTGGAAGCAATTGCTGCCTCTCTGGATGCCTTGGCTTCTTCCCCAATATTCCCTGGCTTAGACAACACCAAGATGGCCCAGTACCAGATGGAGAGGGAGTTTCTAGAGCTAGAGAAACTTAAGCAACTGTGTCTTGCTGAGGAGTTAGAGTGGGAGAGACAGGAGATACAGCGTTACCGTGAGCAGGAACAGCTTATGGTCCAAAGGGAGCTTGAGGAACTTCAGGCTCTGAAACAGCAGCTTCTCCTGCAGCAAGAGGAAGAGCACCATGCCCACATGGTGGCCCAGCAGGAGACTTATGTCCAACAGAAAGAGCAGCTGCAGCAAATCCAACAACTCCAAATCCAACTCCAACGCCAGCTAGATGAGCACTACAGTAGCACCGGCACCCCAGGAAACCTCCTTGATGCTAAATATGCAGGAGTAGGGGATGGTGGTCAGTATTGGCCTGTCAAAGATGAGTCTACAACTCCATCAATTGGAGCACAGTTAGAGGAAAGCCAGGACCAACTTAGTTTAGGAAGTAAGCTGCAAGCTGACCAGGACACAGGGAAAAAAATTATTGATAGTGGAGTGCAGACAGATGACGAAGACTCAGCAGAGAAGCAGCCTGTGGGAAGAAGAAAAAAGAATAAGAGAAATGTTGACAGCTCAGCTCAGACTGATGATGAAGACCAAGATGAATGGGAAGCCCCCACAAAAGCTCGACGGCGCTCCCGAAAACATAGCAGTGATGGGAAACATGGCTCTAAGGTCTCTAGCATTGCTATCCAGACAGTGGCAGAGATATCAGTCCAGACTGACCACTCTGGAACAATCAAACGACCCAATGTCAAGATGGACACGAAGGTGGAAATTATAAAGCATATCTCAGCTCCTGAAAACTCTCAGAGAGGAGGCAGTCTTAGCTGTCAGACAGACTCAGATAGAAGGTACACACCTATTGAGGTGGGATACAGCACACACCTAACAGCGGATGTTCCCTCCAAGTCTAAAATCTTCTATACTGCAGTGTCTCCATTGTCCCCAGAAAAGTCACTTGGAGGGCAGAGGATGCTAACTGCTGATCCAACCAGATTTTCCTCTGGCCCTCGGATATTAAAGACTGGTCAAAAGTCTCTATCTGATCCTACATCCCTGAGTCCCACCATGGATGACAGGATGAGTGGATACAATGCAGACAGCTATACTGTAAGTCAAAGCAGAATATAACTGATTACAGTAATTTCTGTACCACTTGTTTAAGAATGATGAGAATGGTTTGAATACATAAATTAAGCAAAGTATGCTGTGAAATGCAATTTAAAGGAATTCTGTAGTGTTTTAAATATTATTCAGAGATAGCAAGATTTATTTGTTTTTATGTTTTAGGGACGGGGCTCTCCCTCTGGCACAGGAAAGAAAGTAAAACGGACACTGCCAGACCCCCCTCCTGAGGATGACCCTCTTACAGGAAGGTCAGGCTACAGCACCAACTCTGCACGTCGTCGTCTTGCCCGCAGTACAACAATGGCTCGGGCAAAGATCCTGCAGGACATTGACAAGGAGCTCGATCTGGTGGAAAGAGAATCCTCTAAGCTTCGCAAGAAACAGGCTGAGCTAGATGAAGAGGAAAAAGAGATTGATGCCAAGCTTCGGTGAGATGCTACATATTTAAAATCTATAAATTCTTTGTGACTTAGCATTAGCAAATAATGTAAGTAACTAATTATTATGCCATAACATGATTACAACCAATATAACTGCATTCATCCCTCTCCTGCAATCATTATTCCTAATGCATCTGCATGATTCCCCTTTCACCTTGATAGCTTATGGGCTAAAAGGCTGCCTTGACATCACTCAGTGCGACCTCTCCACACTCACACATAGTAAAAGGTACTAATGTGTGAGAAACTGGAACATTATTTGTCTCTTTGGTTGTAATGTTAATAGTATGGTCGATGCTTTAAGTGTAAAAAGATATATATCTTGTTTTGCCCATCAGGTACCTGGAGATGGGTATCAATAGACGTAAGGATGCCTTGCTGAAGGAGAGAGAGAAGAGAGAGAGGGCCTATCTCCAGGGGGTGGCAGAGGAAAGAGATTACATGTCAGACAGTGAGGTTAGCAACATTAGAGAGAGTAGGGGTGATGGCCTGGAGAGACCACGGACAGCTCCCCAATCTGAGTTTGACCAATTCATCCCCCCACAGACAGAAGCTGATTCCCAGTACAACACACTAACTAGTCCCTACTCCCACTATGCCCAGTATGTTCCCCAGACCCAAACCACCAGTCCCTATACCCAACAGAACCTATACCAGCAGCAGTCCCTCTACCACCAACAGGTGTCTCCTTACCCAACTCTAACCCTATCCCATGCCCAGGCTCAGTCAAATAGTTACCAACATGCTCTGCTCTTGCAACAGGGAAAGCAGCGACAAACCACTTTGTCTGATTTAGAGCCTAAGATCAATACTAACTATGAAGTAATACGCAACCAACCTCTGCTCATTGTACCAACCTCCACAGAAAGTGGCTATGGAGTGGCTCACCTGGGGGGCAAATATGGCAACTTGGACTTGAGGCTAGGGATAGAGGAGAGGAGCATGGCCTCTAGTCCCATGTCTAGTATATCTGCTGATTCTTTCTATGCTGATATTGACCACCACAATGCCAGGAACTATGTATTGATAGAGGACATAGGGGAGCTCACCAAGTCTTCAACCGGGCTGAGCAACACCGGCATGGGTTCAGGATTCAACCTGCCTGATAAGGAGTTGTCCAAGGCAGACAGACTACTAAGAGCAGCAGAAGTCAGGCGCACAGCAGAGGTAAATACTATACTGTTACATCAACCTTTATTTTTATATGTATGTTCATGTGCATGTATATTGATATGTTACTGAATTAATTTTTTACATACACTGAAAAACTATTCTGAACAAATGAAGAAACAGTAACTTAAGTCATCAATCAATTATTTTGGTGGTAACATAAGAATACTGAAGGGCTCCTTTTATCGTATGGCTTTAATTTAAATTCTGCATAGATAACACTAAATATGTCTTATATTTATTGTTTTTTTTAGGTGGCAGAGTTTTTAGGCTCATCTCGTCTTCAAGGTTATGGTAAAGGAGAAGATGACACTATGGAGGAGCCTTATGAGCTAAAACTACTGAAGCAGCAGATCAAGCAAGAGTTCAGGCGAGGAACTGAGGGGCTAGAACACTTAACAGGTTTGGCCCTCCCCCAGTATCTCCCCAGTGACGGCAGTTTTCGCCATTTTCCCAAAGGAGAGAAATATAGCATTGGTAGGCTCACCCTTGAAAAACAGGCTGCAAAGCAACTACCTGCAGCTGTGCTTTACCAAAAACAGATGAAGAACAAAAAGGCCCTAATAGACCCTAAAGCCATCACTAAATTTTCCCCAATTCAGGAGAGTAGGGACCTGGAGCCTGACTATGGCAGCTACATGGGGTCTGGGGCCTCCTCTGTGAGCAATCTGGCGGCTAGGGCTAGGTTGCTTCAGGATGAGATTACATTTGGGCTAAGAAAGAACTTGTCTGAGCAGCAAAAATACTTGGGCTCCTCTCTGGGGGCGAACCTAGCTGGTTCTCTTAATCTTGGGCAGTCCCTTGGATTGGGATCTACTATCAGAGCCACTGCCCAGGATGATGGCACCTACCCAAGTGGCAGTCGTTCCCGACCTTCATCCCGCCCCTCCTCTCGCCCCTCTTCTGTCTATGGCTTGGATCTATCTATTAAACGGGACCTATCCAGCTCCTCACTTAGACTTAAAACAGAGGGAGAGGTCTTGGATGCAGCATTTGCCCCTGGGGTGGCCAGAGTAAAGCCAACTAGTTTACCTATCAGCCAAAGCCGGGGCCGCATCCCCATTGTGGCTCAGAACTCTGAGGAAGAGAGCCCTCTGAGCCCAGTGGGGCAGCCTATGGGCATGGCTAGAGCCTCAGCTGGACCTCTCCCTCCCATCTCTGCTGACTCCAGGGACCAATTTGGGTCTAGCCATTCCCTGCCAGAGGTACAGCAACATATGAGGGAGGAATCCCGAACGCGTGGCTATGATCGAGACATTGCATTCATCATGGATGACTTGCAAGGTGCCATGTCTGACAGCGAAGGTAAATGGAGCCTCAGACTGTTGCAGCAACTTGACTGTGTGGACTTGCTTGTCATGCATGCTAATGCTTAGTAGTCTCAGTGACTTTTTGCATTAACTGGTTCGTCCTTAATTATCAGTGCACCATCAAATTGTTGTTGGTTGTTTGTAACTATATTTCCCTAAATGTCACATTATATGTTTGCATGCTCACCGGTACATAAGACTCCTGACCTGAGTTTATGTATGTCACAAATCAGTTATATCCATTTCTATGATTTCATCAGCATGCTTTCTCTTTTTTTTCCCCCATTGGCTTTACTCGTCACAGTTACTCAAAGCCCAGTGGTACCAAATTTCCTATGCACAAACTGTAATGCCTTGAACATATTCATGCATATTCTCCATATTACAGCTGCCTTATTCTTAGTGAGTACAACATATTTTATTGTACCTCTGAGCAAAGTTTCTACAGTGAGCATATACAGTGAATACAAAAACAGTTGTAATATAAAAAAATTACTGCATAAAAATGTATGTTATGGGAGATTGTAGCGTATACATATGAGTAGTTTTTAAAAACCGGCCGGGGTAGAAGGAGCTGGATTATTTTTTCTAAATAGAACTACAAAGAGATGTGCTTTGTGTTTCGAAAAAAGACATATATTTGCAATTTGTAGGTTACTGTTAAATAACAATGTAATATTTAAACATCATCTTATATGTGAAGTGCCTCATTAACTCAAATGATCTTAAAATGACCTATACAAGCAATATACTGAACATGTTTGAAAATGTTTGGTTAATGGCATTTAGAATGTCTGGGATGCAATAGAGACCACCTGGAAGCTGTCGAAGCTACAAAATTGTATTAGCAGATTTTTACATGATGACAAGGAGTGTCTCGGGATCCTCTCTTTCTTTTTATCCAGCCCCCACCATCAATCTGCAGAGCAAAACAATGTCTTTGTTAGATCATTGCCTCAAAAAAGACATGTTATTACTGTTAAGGCACCATGTCAGATATTTTAAAGCACAACTAGTAGCAGTAACTTGACAGGTAACTGCTGAATCATGGTGTCTGGATGCACTTAAGTATTTTTCATGGCATTTCCCTTTGTGTAGTTGATTCTCGCTGACTAATATCAATTCAGAGACACAGCTACAAATTTAAGAGCAAGTCAGTAAGGAGAAGTATTTGTATATAAACTCTTTTTTTCAAGGACTTTCATGCAGCTATATGTGATCTGTGAAATATACATTAGGCACCAAATTATTGTGTCTCATTTATGTTGTGTTAACTATTTGTCTTTGTTTCTATATGTCTTTAATTTTCTATCTGTACCCAATTTTGCATCCTTGCATGTTGTGCAATACATGTTTTTCCATTTTCATCTTAATAAAGTGAATGTTTTATGCTTGTTGATTGTTGCTGTGGATGTCTCATTGCCACGTGAGATGTCCATGTCCCCTAGTGTTTGACAGCAAATATTGACATGTATTATCTCTACATTTGTTAGAGTGGGATTGGCAGTGTTCCATTAGGTTATATAATTCCCTTTCTCTAGATCAGTATGAAAGAGTAGTTGATATGTTTTATGGTTGATTAAGATACAGTGTCTCTCCATTTGGTAGAAACACTAATACGTAAGTAAAGTAAAGTAGTACACTGCAAAAAATTAAATATTAAGGTCAATGGGATCATTGTCATCTGCATTGATTTTCAGACAAGTATCTCAATGCATAGCAGTAACAAATATGTTCAATTTATTTCTGGACCATTTAACAGTCAGTTTAATTAAATTGTTGATAAGGTGACATTTGTCCTGACAACACCTAAAAGTGTCCATCTGCCTTGATTACAGCACTAAGTGAGTCGATGCTGGCTTTGAACAGAGATGATGCCAGAATCTTTCATGAAAGTATCAGACACGGTAGAGTATTTTATAGTACTAAGACTTGGCTCAGTCTTACATTAATCGAAAGATGGCTTAGTAACTAAAGTGTATTTTTCCTGTTTTATATGTCAAAAATGCTTTTGCTTAAATTTGTAAACTGTCTGACAGGCTAATAATGTCAGACTTGCAGTGATTTCAAGCATGCATCTTACATTGACTGCTCTCAGTGCATGTGCTGAAGTATACACACTATACAAATCTAGTCTTAGCACAGTTCCTGTAGTTTGTTTAGATGAATTACCTTAATGTTTACGCATTTTAAAAAAACATATATACAACTTTGTATCCCAGCTGGAGGCCCAAACTGGAATATAGAAGGTGAGACAGCATTCAATTCCCATGTAGTTACGTAGAGACTGAATGCCTCCATGCCACATATCATGGTTCTCAATGATCCACCTCTCTGGTTGACTTTGTAAACCAGACTCATTCTGGAATGACCCACATCTCAGTTGTATACAATACATGTCATTTAGCAGATCTCTAGTAGTTGACATGTCCAATTCATTCTGGAATGAATCCCATCCTAATGGCACTAGAAATCTTTTGTGTGTCATATATTGTGTTGTAGTGATTTGATTTATACATCATTCTGGAATGACTGCACATTAATGGTTCTGTAAGCACATCAGACCCATTCCCAGCATTCATGTCCATGCACTTTTTCAAAAAACCATGTGTATATTGTGTGATCATGTATAAGTGTTCCCACAAAAAATACCTTATAAAATTATATACATATGCTTTTGAGTGCATACATGTTAGACATATTATCAGAATTCTAAAGGTTCACACTGCCACCGTTGACTGATTCTAGATCAGAAAAGTCTAACACTGACAAGAGCTGATACTTTTGTTCTAATCTCTAGATCTAAGACACGTGGGTAAGAGGCAACATTTACCTTCAGCATAAATGGTCATCAGGCCATTTCTCCTTCTCATTATTGTTGCATCTTCTGGGGGAGATTAAATCACTGATAATTCAAAGAGACATTCAGCAGACCTGTGCACATTCCATCCTTAGTGACAAAGCACTGCATTGAAAACTAAAGTGATTACTCATATGTCTAATGTAGAATATTTCCAACCAACCTGACTTACTGATGGCAGGGTCACGAACGGCAAAAATGAGGATACAAAATCTTATGGATGTTACATATCATTGTTAAAAAGGGATTAGATTGTCTGTATCATGAGCTTTGTGAGGGGCCATGTTACACTGCACTTACAGTACATAAATACATAGTATATTTGACTGTTATATGGTTATTGATACTATGCCATAACCTTAAGTAGGAGGTAGACTTATACCGTACCCTCAGAGTGTCGTATTAAGAAATAATACAGAACAAATAAGTCCATATAAATGATGATTTGCATTACAGTTATTTGAGTAGAAAACACATTCACTCCAATTGCAGTGTTTTGACTTAATTATCCCAACAGAGTTTTCTAGGGACACTTTCACCAACAATGTTTCATACACAGCAGCTATGAAAATGTGGACAGAAAAGCCAGAGCACGGAGCACTGCATGGTATCAAAAGCATGGAATACTTAAAATGCTCGAGAAAATGACTTCAGTGTTTACATAGGTCATTTAATCGCACAGACGATATTAATCGGGGGGAAGCAGCGTTTATACTCCTTTTAATTCCACTCATCCTGATAGGACAGATCAGAGATCTTTCTCAATTTAAGCAACCAGGGATGGATGTGTGACAAACATGACACATTTCAAAAGGGTAATTACAAGATTGATTTCTGCCCAAGTAGTTATTAACACGTTTAAAGCAGACATGTATCAATCTATCAGGGATATAGAAGGTGTGCGATTGTGTGGACATGGTTTTAACCACTACCTCTCCCTGCCTAGCCTACCACTTGAGGAGAGAGGACACAGACTGGTTTGACAAGCCAAGAGAAGGGCATCTGCAGAGTGGAAGCATGTCTGACAAAAGACAGGTGAGATCCAAGCAAGCGTTCCACTTTATACAATTTCCTTTCCTTCCATGAAAACCTATGGGGAACCTTTGTTCTGCATTCTTTAAATTCTTTAATATCTCTCTCAGATGAAACTGGTCCCTTATGCCTTCCCTCACATTTGCGTCAAGCTTAAGAGAGACCTGCAGGACACCAGTGTGTCAGGTATACGGCAAACAAACAAACAGACATATCATGCAAAGATTATCAACACAATTATTTGATATCATCGTTTTGCTAATTAGGATTTGGTTTATTCATTTTTCCCACAGGGAATGGACTTGGAATTCGTGTAGTGGGTGGAAAGGACATTCCAGGGGGCAGAGGAGAGATCGGAGCCTATGTTGCCAAGGTTATCCCTGGTGGTGTGGCAGAACAGACAGGAAAGGTTGTAGAAGGTAAGAGAAGAAGAAAAAGTATTTATTATCTTTAATATTTTTTCACCTATGTGATAAAATAATTTGGAATTGTAAGAAAACGTGACGCATTTACATCGTTCCACAAGAACAAATACACTGCTCCAATTCAAAGGTATCGGAGATGCATTCATTTGAGTTTGCTTGGTGTCACTCTGTACATAGTAAGACAGACAGTTTCTAAGGGAGACATTAAAAGCTAACATTTTAACTCCCTGCATGAATCAATGATTTCCAGATGGAGATGTGCAAGGCGGCTGTAGCCTGCTGTGTTGTGGTCTGTCATGTCTCATTCCCACTAACATCCAAACAGAGAAAAAAAGGCCTGTCAACTCCGCCTCCACAGCACTGGGCTGTGTTAGTCATTAGGTTATATTTAGCATCATTACAAACACACAAAAAGCAGGCATCCGCACAGACAAACACACATAGATGACAATAATCCTTCAAAAAACTTGTTAGACTTTCAAAATGGTTGATCTCTATAGAGGAAATGGGATGTTAATGGTAATTCCCACAGTTTAAAGATATTTTTAGGACAAAATTGGTTCTAGTCTCTTTCTTCAGTGGCATGTCCACCATGGGGACAGCCGTGACTTTGCTTTAAATACTGAGAAAGACAAGGTTAGACTGGGCTCTTTTGGCATCATCAGATGTGATAAAGAAATAGAAACAGTGGTGAAGCCGATAACGTTTATTTTATAGCGTATGTTGAAATGTAACTGTACAAATGTGATGTTTATGTTTCACTGAGAGAAAATGGCGGCGGAACATGCCTTCAGGTGCAAAGACAAATAACGTGGGGGGAGGATATGGTGGATTACACGGTGAGAGCATGTGCACTGGCTCGTGCAGAAGGGAATGGAGATACTAATTCAAGCCTTTATTGTCACAGCAGCATGTGAGTTGCCTCAGAAGCAGAGGTCTAATCTGAGGACCAGGTTTCAGTTGTGTAAGTGAGGCCACGTGCAGCTCTGGCATTGAAGTGGAAGTCTGAGTTTGCTGTGCACTGATTTTGTGTATATTGTATACTGTTTGCGGTGCTGTGTGTGTGTATATATAAGATCTAAATCAACAAAAAATTAAAATTCAATAATGAATGTTTTCCCCTGGCTGTACAATAAATTGAAGCATTACATAGGCTGCACTAGAACTAATCATGTTTCATATTTAGAGATGTGGTGAGATGCATTAGCCCACAGGTGATAAACATATTGTCTGGGAATTCTGTCTCTGAATCTGTCTGCTTGCCTTTATCACGCCACAGGAATGCAGGTGCTGGAGTGGAACGGAGTCCCTCTGATGGGGAAGACTTATGAAGAAGTGCAGTGCATCATGGGCCAGCCATGTGCCGAGGCGGAGCTCTGCGTGAGACTGTGAGTTACATCTGTCATCATTATCCCTCCATCCCACTGAAACTCTTACATGTTTATTCGCAATATGGTGACTCTGCACACCTCCCCTCCCCCCTCCTTTCTCTGCTACTCATTCCACACCCCTTCGTCTGACAAATATCACTCAATGACTGATTACTGCTAAAGATACACTGGTTTATATTCCATTATAAATGTCCTGTATGGATCCAAACAGCGACCTTAATATGCTGTCTGACCCTGAGCACCCACAAGCCCTGGAGCACCATGTACAGCTTAAGGCTGGTATGTACAAGGTTTTGTTGTTCTGTCTGCATGCATGCATGTATCTGTGTACCTACTTCACATGAACACAATGTGCATTACTATACACATTTTTCTCAAAAGGTGGGCAGCGTTCCCCTGGCGTGGATCCTAAGCAGTTGGCTGCAGAGCTGCAAAAGGTGTCGCAGCAGCAGGTTCCCGGTCTGGCCGGAACAGGGGTTTTGACCGGGAGTTTGGGGGTCCTCTCTGCACTGGAGCGCTCCACCCTCCTCCACTCGGGGACTGGATCGGCTGCCTCCAGTGGTGTGCCAAGCCCTGGCCAGCCCGCATCCCCTGCCATAAACAAAAAACAGCGACATAAGGTAATGGATACCCATTGCTGTTGGCTCATCTCAGAGTAGAACTCATCTAAGTAGTGAAGAGTTCAGTTAATGTAAAAAATATAAAATATAAATAGTCTACAACTGTCAGGGAACGATATTTTGTGGAAAGTATGAGTCTGAATGAATAATGGCAAGGGTCTGTATCAGTCTGCAGAGGAATCTTGTGTGATCCGTCATGGCCCTTGGCTGCTGAGATTCCATTAGTATTACATCACGTAACACTACAAAGAGGAGGTTGCATGTGAAGGTCAAATGGTGTGACTGTGTTCATCAGAGAGTGACAGACCAATTACAATATATCAAGAAAACAGTTTGGTAGATACTCTGACCCTAGCTATGGGGGCCATTTACAGATGGAATGCACAACATACTGCAAAGGGAAATATATTATAAGCAAATTATTAAATGCTTGATTCTTAAAACCCAAAAAAGTAGCATTAGACCTTAAAGATTTTTCTATTAATGTCTAAGTAGCTGAAATAATTGATTAACCCTCTAAAACTTCTCTCCTGAGACTCATAGATCCAGCAGGAAATCTTTTTCTTGCAACCCATTCATCCGGTAGCTGACAATATAATAAATGCATTTTAATACACTGCAACCAATTCCCAGGGTAATGGCTGAAGTCCATCTATGAACTTTTCTCCGGTGGTAAAGTCAGGTCTGTCAACTTTGTCTCTGGAACTTATCCAATCAATTTTAACTGCTGCATGCCCCTCGCCCTTTCATCCTTTCCCCTTTCAGCCAGCTGAGGTGATGAAGATGCCTCACCCCATCACTGGAGAAATTCAGGTAAAAGAAAAGTTCTAAAGGAAAATTTCCACCGCAACAACCTCTAGACACAGCACAGCGGTTCGGTCTTTCTCACGCGGCCTCCACCTCAATCTTTTACCCTTCAGCTCCAAATCAACTATGACAGGAACCTAGGAAACCTGATCGTCCACGTTCTGCAGGCTAGAAACTTAGCCCCGAGGGACAACGATGGCTACTCTGACCCTTTCGTCAAGGTCTACCTCTTACCGGGAAGAGGGTGAGTTCTGAGTGTGTTTGAGTTCTCAGCAATGTCTGGTCTGTGTCCCTGCCTTTCTGCTTCTGTGTCTGTCTTGTTTACTCTCCCCCTATTTCTTTCTGACTTTGTATCGACTGTGCAGCGTGAAACTACGACTACCAACTACTTGAGTTCTTATGAGAGAATGAGACAGGACATGATATGAGGCAGTCATTATAGTGTCATTTGTCTTTACAAATCGATGGATGGGTGTTTTTCAACCTTACACAAAGCTATGAGAGGAGATACCATACTGCTACGTTACAATACATCCGATTACCTGGTCAAACACTATGTGTGTGCAAACACACACTGTGCTGGAGTCACAAGCTCTTAGTATTCTGTCCACTTTTGACTGAAGGAAGTACTTTCCCCCATTAATATGTACCCGGCTTCCTACTCTCATCGCTGTCTTGCTTCACGAGAGGCTGTGAAGAGCCAGAGAAGAGATCGATACAGCCTTTATCTTCTGTGTAACAGTATCTGCTCTTAGATAATGACTCCATCAGACCTGTTTACGAGATTATACGCCCCCTCTACCGACACTGTAGGTTAAAAATGAAAGCTCTGTAGGAGAGCACATTTGTTGTCCTGCTGGTTTTATGTAAAGAATGTTTCTGTCATGTATTTATCTGACTCTAGCAGTGAAGTGTACAACCATGTATCCCAACAGCAGTTCAGAATAGTGAATTATTAAATCACCCATGAGTCAAGTGTAATCTTGAGGTTTTTTTTGGAGAGTCTTGCATCACATACATCCTCTGGCACGAAAACACTGATACACCCTGTAGAATATTGATTGCCTCAGATCTCTATCCTCTACTGCCTTTACTTTGAGCTCCTTGGGCTTCTCTGACAGTTTTTTGTGTTTTTGCTTTTCTTGTTTGTGATATCTGCCCTCCTCTTCCTCTTCTGGACTCCCTCAGCCAAGTCATGGTTGTCCAGAATGCAAGGTAGTGTGGTGCTGACCTTTTGCTTTTAGTTGGTGTTACGCTTTTCTTTTTCTTTCTGTAAATTACTGTACGTCTCCAAAATAGTTTTCCACCCTTATGTTGTGGCCTTTGTTGTTTGTCCAACTGTCTGCTCTACTTCATGGTGTTTCAGAACACTTCTATCATTGTTTTTCTCTCCATGCTTCTCCAGTCTCTGAAGTGATTTGTGATTCTGTATCTTAGTCAAAACTGACAATACAAAAATGTATTTACATCTAAATTTGTTTCTGATGTCTCAACACAAACATGACGACCATTTTGCAAACATCTTTTCAGTCTACATATATTCAGCATATCACAGCTTGGTGATTGTTTTACTGTGGGGTCATGCAAGGAAGAGACATTTTAATTTAATGCTGACAATCATTCTGAATATCCTGACTTATCAGTGCTGATAACAAGAGAAGGACCAAGTATGCCCAGAAGACAATGAACCCAGAATGGAACCAGACAGTCATCTACAAGAACATTCATTTGGAGCAGGTACTGTGCAGGATCACATTAACACACCCACCCACCACACAGACACATACATAGGCATTCACTGTGTCTTGTTTGTGTAGTTACTGCATGTGCTACAGGCCACTTTAGGGAAAAGCAGATGCCTTATACTCTTATTAGGATTCAGTCCTCATACCTTGTCCACGGGGCTGTTATCAGTATCCCACTGCAACCTCTTCTCAGCACTCCCAAGATTCAACTTAACAACCATCATTTCTGCTCCCACACACTCTCGACTCAGAAAGCCTTACTGCGAGTCATTTGAACAGAGAAGAGTCGCAGAAACTTGGTAATCATGCCCCCCCCTTCGTCTGTCAGCTTGGGTGTTACCACATATTCGGGCCCATTTTATTTTTGGATGTCTGTGTTTGCGATGAGTATGTGCCGCTCACGACTGAGACACCACCCAGACAGTAATTACAGCTGTCAGGTATGAATGCAATTGCGGTATAGCTTTAGTGGTCATAGAAAGGAGGCCTACGAAGCCAGTGGTTTCGTCAGCTCCTCTGGGGCTGCCTTGTGTTAATCATGTCACGCTGCTGTACCACTTATTCACCCACTTCCAATAATACACACATACAATACACATTCACAGGGATACACACACATACTTTCAAATGTAACCTCTCATGTCTCTACTCATTACAATAAATGACCCTCCGAGGTTTGCATTAATTCTTACTGCATGTAAGAACTCTTTCTATCCTCCACCCACATATATAAACACAAACACACACACACACACAGTTCTCCCTCACACATCTTCACATTAGATCTCTCATCACAATCTGTGCCCCTAACACCTCTTTCCATTCTTTCTATGCAGTTAAAGAAAAAGACACTGGAGGTGACAGTTTGGGACTATGACAGAACCTCCTCCAATGACTTCCTTGGAGAGGTGGGTGCTTTTGGAATTTGAATCGAGATGCAGAAGCTGTCTAAATCATTTTTTTATTTAACCAGGACAAAAGGTTCCTGACGTTTTTTTGTTTTTTTCCCTGTGGACCAGCTTTTCTTCAGAAAACCTAACAATATTAGCTAAGTTTCATGCCATTAAATCTATGTAGTGAGAATTGATACTTGTGTTAAAAGCTAAATACATTGAGCATTGCTACTGTTTTGCAAAACTCTTCTCATTTCTCATCTTATTTTCTTTTCTCTGTTTCTTTCTTTTCGCTTATTGTGTCTCAGGTGTTGATTGATTTGTCAAACACAACCCAGCTGGACAACACTCCTCGCTGGCTGCCCCTGAAGGAGCAGAGTGAGAGTATTGAGCACAACAGAGTCCATCATGCTGCTCAAGGCCCACCAGGGTCTGGGTCTGGTCAGGGACATGGCCAAGGCCACATGTCAGGACCTGGTTTGGGGCCTGGGCATGGTATGGGACAGGGTCAAGGACTGGGAGACGGAATTCATGATTCACCTAAAAACTCTGTAATCAAGAGCAGAAGTCATGGAATCTTTCCCGATCCAGCTAAGGGTAAAATGACATACCACATGTATCTGTTCTAGCCTCATATTCGTCCTTAGTTTCAATAATTTCCATGAATCTGTATATTCTATATGACCAGTTTGATATTTTAACATTGACAGGTTCCCATTTGTGACAAACACTGTGATTTATAAGGTTGTCAATCAGTTGTCATAGAGATAGAGGCAGTTACTATAGAAACCAAAATTCTAATTATGTCTTAACAACTATAATTACACTCCAGTTGCTATATGGTACAACCAGGGCTTCAGTGGAGCAGAAAATTTAAGGTGCTCTTAAAAAACTGTGACTTATTTTCACATTCCGTTTCCACTTATCTTCTTGTCATTCGTAAACCTCCATTACTCTTTCCTGCAGACATGCAGATGATCCCTTTGGAGAAGTCACACAGCAGCCCAGGCAGCTCCAAGTCATCCTCTGATGGCCAACTGCGCTCCCACGGCCCATCCCGAAGCCAAAGCAAGAGCAGCGTCACTCAGGCCCACCTTGAGGATGCTGGCATAGCCATCGCTGCCGCCGAGGCTGCCGTCCAACAGTCCCGCCTGCAACCAAGTAAATTCTGCCCCTACCCATGATACTCTTCCTGGGACATGCTTCCTCTTTTTTCCTCAGCATGCAAGTTCTGTTGAGATTGTTTGATGAAAACCTGAACTGCTGTTTGATCACCTCATTTTTTACCTTTTTCTTCTGACCTCAAATTAAGTTTAATTCAGCCTCCTGCAAGTTAGATTAATCTTAAAAGTATAGTCAATATGCAAAATCTAAGACATATGGAAAATGCAAAAACTAAATTTCTGTATAAATCTTATTTTATTCAGTCTTTTAATATAAATATACTTATTAACCATTCAGTGCACTAAATAGCTTATTCCAAATACAGTATTTGACATTATCCATCTGTCTAATGTGTTCTCTACATCTTATGTTATTAACACTGCAAGGATTTATTTAAAAATAGGAATAAATGTATTGAATTAGCTCCAAATGTAAAGCCTCAGACCCCACCGTTTCATGTTGTGTGCATGTGCCAGTCCCAAGCATATGGTTTCTGCACACCCCCAGTGTGGAGATCTCCAACCCCAGTATAGAAACCAAGCTGGGATGGCAATCCCTCACGTCTAATACCATACCAAAATGATTTAGTTAACAACACCCATTCATGTTTATGCAGTCTTTAGTGTGATGCCCTCAAAATGAAGAATTATGTTGTCTTCCCTTTCTGAGATAAGTTAGCCCAGTGTGAGAGCTTTTTAAGCATGCAGCTGCAGCTCCCCTGGCTACTGCTCCCTGGCCACCAAGGACTTTGTGGCGCTGCTGTCTGTCTGTGTGTGTGTGTGTGTGTGCCAAATGAATGAAGTAAAAAAAAAAAAAAATACATGCACAGACACAGACAGGTATGGCACACAGACTCCCCACCCCTACCCTAGTCCTTTTCCATTCCTGCCACCTAAAACAAAAGGGGACTCAAATGAGAGACTGAACCAGTCAAACCAGGAAACACAGAAACATCGAGAGGTTCAAAAGTCAACATGGAGGCTCACTCTGCACTCACCGGCCAATGAGAGTAAAGCGGTCTGCTATCCATGAGCGGAACAGCAGTGTCAAGGGAAGGTGAGACAACATAGGATAAATAAATATTATGAATCCTAATGTATTAACTTTAATGCGATAAAAGTAAAGAAACATAAATAGGAAACAAAATTAAGTTAATATAAGTAAATGTGTAAATAACTGAAGTAACAAATGAATCCAGGTGTCTCTCATGCAATGACTTTCATGTTTGTGTGTCTGTGAATGTATGTGTGCATATGCAACTGCACACATTTTTTGTGGTTACTTTTGTCAGACATGATTGTGCTTTAATGACTTTGGGAACAGAATTCTCAGTTATTGCCTCTGAGTCACATTTTTTTTTTTTTCATACATAATGGAACTACTATTAGTTTCTATTAGTCATCATTTTAAAGCACACATAGGTATAGCTCAATGTGAAAGGCAAGGAATGTATCCACCCAGTCTAGACAGAAACATTTCACATATTCCCTGAACTAATCCAGCTCCTTCATACTGTATGGAATGAGTAACTCAATGGCAGCCAGGAGCCAAAACCAAATAATTAAGTCTATGGAAGAACATTGATGTTATCTGACTTCAAATCCATTTTCACATGTGAATTAAACTCTGTGACCTTCATTTATTCGTAGTGAAGGGATTTTCTGTGTGTTAACCAAGGTTATGCACCCTACTGATGAATTCAAGGACAAACTGTCACATGATGATCTGTTCCTCCCGGGATATGCTGTTATGTGATGCTTAGTCTCAGCGTCACTGTCAGGGAGTGAGTGATAGCTGCGAGTGTCCGGTGTTTCAGCATGTCTGTGGATAAAAGCTGTGTCAGTGGAGATGTACTGTGTTCATGTGCAAACAATTTCCTGTAAATAGACATAAAACATAGAGATAAGATAGATTTCCTCACCTGCAAGCTTGTTCTTGCCACCCTCAGGACTAGGACACCGGCTGGGGGATGTCTCAGGGTCAGTGGTGCTGTCGGCCCCGAGTCTCATAGGAGACGCCTACGGAGGTCTGGACGGGGAAGAGGGAGCGGGCACTGGAGTTGACAGTGCCATTTTTCAAGTGCCACGCATGTAAGACCATTTGTGGCTGATATTAAGCACAAAGATGGTGTCTTGCGAATAAAGCAGTGCTCATACTTTTGTTTTATTCCTCACAGCGGTAAGACTGTTCCCAACGGCACCGACAAAAACCAACTGGGAACCCCAGAAAATGAAGGCAAGTTCCAGAAATGTGTTCTTGAGGCTATGGCAGAAAATATGTTTTCTTCCTTGGTTGTAGGTCTCCACCTGCTGGATATTTTGAATAACAACACTATTTCTTATTTTGCCAGCCACTAGTTTAACCATAATGACACTATTCAATTTTCATTGTCATGTTAATGTCAATTAACAATATTCAGCCAGCATAATGACTTAATGCATGGCTTTGGATAGTGGAGGAGAGGTGGGTGTCACAGTATCCAACCCACTGTCATAACTATATCTACGTTTCATGTAGCTCAGGTGTCATGATGCCTCTCTTCCATCTCTAGTTTCAATTTGTAACAAAGAGCCCAAGGTCATTTTAGGCCGTAGCCTGTTACACAGATGAGGTCAGGAGGTTATTTCCATGCAGCCCGAAGACTCTTAACACGTTTAACACAGACCCTGTCTCAGTAGAACCCTTTCACCAAAATATCAATAGGAGCACATGGCAGTGCCACTGCAGAGATGTTCTCTGACCTGGTTGTATCCTGCAGGTAGCCCAGGTTAAGTGATGCATAATTGTTAAATAATTAAAATAAGCCTCAGTGACACTGCAAGTAAATGCTTTTCTGTGGGACTGTAGAATCCTGCCTGTGCGTGGCACATGGTACAAATATAAACCCTGAGCCCTGCATTATGTATAAAAATTTCCAACTTTAACGTAAAGATATTATATAAAGATAGATAGATACTTATTGATCCTGAGGGAAATTTAGTAGTACACAAAACAGTCGAACACAAGTGCATAAGAATAATAAAAACTCAAGAATAAGTAGACTTAATCTGCAGGGAGATGAAAGTCTAGCCGCCAGAAAAGCTGTCACTGTAAAGAAGTATGTGCTAATGGGGATACTGACAATACAGATATAAGATGAGTAAGTATAGATGATTAAAAATTTAAGGTGAGAGAAGTAGAAAATGGCAAAACAAGTAACTGAGCCTGAGTACTCATACCAAATATAAATACAGATTTAAAGATACATAACTGAAGCTATACAAATTAGATTATAGTACAGCAGATGTTAGTGTATTTAAAAAAGTGAAAACAGTGCAAGAATAAAGCTTAATATATACAAGAGATATAAAAAATATATATGTAAAAAATATAAAATCAAATAAAGATGAGTATTGGTGAAAGTGTGGCAGCCTAGTAGCATGATTGCTGCGTTAATCACTCTCTTTTCACCAATTCCGAGAGTCGTGCTAATTCTTCATTAAAATGTCCAAATATAACTGGACCCATGCTACATATTTAGTTTGACTTGTGTACTCACATCATTCAAAATGTTTTCAACAATGTCAAAACCCAGAGAAATCCCCAATGTAACTCATGTTTACATTTGTGTCACCTTTTAATCATGTCACACCCACTTCCGGTACAAATGACGTACGTAAAGCAATAATTGAGAAGAAAAGAATGGAGGTGTGGCAGAAAACATGTGAGGACCAGACAGCAAGGAGAAATAACCAAGAACTTCATGGAGCAGAGGGGAGGAAGTCCTAATAACAAGACTAAGATCAGATCACACAGGACTCCATGACACCTCGTTTATAATGGGGAAGAGGAACAGTGACGACTGTAGTAATTCGGGGGATAAAGAAAACACTGAACATGTAATCTTCCATTGTAACGAAGCAGAAAGACAAAACTTCCAGGATAAAGTCCTGGAAGTGGGACGAGAGTGGGATCTAATGGGGTTTTGTGGAAAGAAGGAGAAGGAAGAAGAGACATCAGGAAAACACTTTTTTTAAAAAGACACTCGGCTGACAGGTAGGATTTGAGGAAATGTGTTAAAGGACACGATGTTGCACACTCTTGTACAGTAGGTGGCGGTATGCACCTTAAATTGTTGTAAACCGAGAAGAAGAAAAGCCACACTGCTAGCCAGTTAGCCTGTTAGCTAGTCAGCTGTGTTTTCCTCTCACTGTTTGTATCGATCGCGTGTGTAACGTGAATAAAATGTTCATTCATCACCTCATCCGTGGGTCACGTCACGTCAGGTGGATGTCCACCGTCAATGGTGGCGCAGACAGCAGCTCCCATGATCCCACGCTTCTTCATGACGTCATCAAACTAAGCTTTCTCGAACGTTTTTATTGAGCGACCCCCAGCGGCCGAAGTCACGCACTGTAGGTTGAGGAGCTGATCCCTTATGTCTCCTTCGTTGTTGTGTAGCTGGTAAAACACAAGTGATGGGGGAGATCAAGGTCGCTCTCAAGAAGGAGGTGAAGCCAGAGGGAGACCAGCTGGTTTTGGAAATCCTTCAATGCAGAAACATCACGTACAAGTTCAAAAGCCCAGATCACCTACCAGGTCAGAAAATATGTGTGTGTGTGTGTGTGATTTTGTGTTTGATTTTTTTCAAACTGTGTTTTCATCAATATATATTGATCTTTTGTCTAATTATCTTTGTCTGTCTAATTTTCCTCAGACCTGTACGTGAAGCTGTATGTGGTGAATGTGGCCACTCAGAAGAGGATCATCAAGAAGAAGACCAGAGTTTGTCGACATGACAGGGAGCCGTCTTTCAACGAGACCTTCAGGTTCCCCCTGAATCCAACTGGACACGCCATACAGGTACAAACCACACTCACACCAGACAGATGTTGTGAACCGTGGCTCCGTCCAGATGTCAAACATAATATTTCATCACATCAAATGTATTTTTGTGGCATATTTCCTGCTGTTATAATCTACTGATTGGCCTCATAATCGTAGAAAATAACTGTTGACAGAAAAAACCTTCAAAACAGCTCAGTGCAGTTTAACATTGGAAACTTGTAACATCTGAAATAACAAGTATTTACACTCATTATCACTAGTCTGCAGCCTTGTGGAGCAGCGGGGAGATTTACCTCCAACTGTGGGGCTGAAGGATTTGAGCTGCTTGGAACTGACTTCTAAAAGGATAAAACTTCTCATGCTTGCTGAGAATGTTTTTTAGTTAAATGGAAGATGCATTTCGAAATATTAACAAATGTCTGTCTGTCAGATTATCTCTACCAAGGACATCCTCTCGTTTTGTCAGCCTGCGTGGTAGTAAGCAGGATAATGCAAAAACTATTGGACGGATAGCCACAAAACTTAGTGGAAGGATGCAGGATATGTCGGGATATTGATGCGGTTCCATATAAGGGGGATCCAGTATTTTTTTTTGTAATCCGTCCAATAGTTTTTGTGTCACTAAAAGACAAAAACAAAAGCCGATATAAACGTAACCTCCCTGATTAAAGTAATAAAGAATAACACAAAAGCATATCTATTGTTTTACGATGGTTACATATGTCGATCAGTAAATCAGAGTTTGTCACTTGGCCCAGTTTGAATTACTCATGGGGACTAACATGCTTTTACAAGTTTATATTATGGGGGCTGGTAGGAACAACAACATTTTAAACAATGATTAGAAAGCAGCAGAATGACGAATGTGTTCCGCTCTCAAATGTTTTTCCAGCTTTTCCTGGTGTCTAATGGCGGAAAGTTCATGAAGAAGACGCTGATAGGAGAAGCCTACATCTGGCTGGACAAGGCGGACATGAGAAAGAGAGTGGTCAGCTGGCACAAACTGTTTGTCAGCTCCACTCAGACCAACCCCTGAGCACCACAACAACAACAAGAAGGGGTAGCAGCTCAACAAAAGGTGCAGCCCACGTCAGAGGTCCGATTTTGACAAAAATGGATGAGGCAAAAAAAAATGTTCAGGAAGAGGAAATAAAAAAACAATTTGATGTAATTCCTCAGTTAATAAGTTCAAAGAATGAGTGAATAATGTGCTAATACCATAAGAAATATATCAGTCAAACACTGCCAGCACACGTCCACCTCTTCCCATGTCAAGTCTCTGCCAGTTGTGGACATTGCTCGTAGGATGCAAACGTGCAAATGCCACATCAGGCACCGAAACAGACTCAACAGCAATATGGCTTTTGAGAGCAGTGATGTCTTTCCTACCATAGTTCCAAGTCCATGATCCACATTAGACATTGTTGTTTTGGTGCTGTGCAACTGAGCTAACATATCTATAAACGGGGAGAAGATTTAAAAGGTGACTTCAACCTGAATGAGCTTTCGTGTTTTGTGAAATGCATCGTTGTACTGCCCACATGATGGTTGTGATGTGTGTGGACATCAGTGTATGTAATGATGGAGGAATGCTTAGTGTTTGTATGATAGTCAGTTTTATGAAAAATAAGAAAAACTAAAATAACAAAGTCTTTATGTAGAACCGAGTCAAACAGCTGACCTTCGTTGTGGGATGAAGATAAACATGTACAGCACTTCAGATGTAGATATCACACATGCCGATTACAGAACATATCAGAGAATCACATTGTACAGTGTGATGTTTATGTAGTATACAAAGATATCAGATTCAGAATATATCTAAATACAGTATACATATAATATAAAATGTCAGAGGATTATATATGATGACATATAAACTTATGATCTCTGCTAGATTGAGGCTGTGGGTGGCGCACTGACAATCCACTAGGCTACTTTAGTCCATGGTGTATGCAGTCGTGTAGACTGCCATGTGAATGTGGACCTATGTGAGTAAATGGCTCCTTTGGTCCTGTGATCACACTGACGCACCACTAGATCTTCAGCAGGGCTGCGATACATTCAAAAATAACGGTCAAGGTCAACATCCATCGACATGTTGCCATTTCACTGGCATGTTATCGTGCAGGGCAGTTTAGAATTACAATAAAATGAATTGCTTGTTGTGCTCTGAAGCCCAAATCACATTGTGCTGAATGTTTCAAACCAACTGTTGAGGATGACGAGGATTTATCCCATCATTTGTTGTCATGTGTACGGCGTTTTACTTTAAGGCTGTTGTAGTAGCTCAGAGTGTGCTCAATATTTCTTTCTGTGTAGCTGTGATTACACTGTTGGAACGACATGTGATTCACACACGTGTCAAAACCATGCGTAGACCTGCAACTGTCAGTATGACAGCTGTGCTTTTTTCTCGTGCATTAGTAAAACACCCTGGTCTGAGTCCCCCCGCCCCCCAAAAAAAAATTAATAAATAAAATGAAGAAATATTTTTCTTATCAGTCAAATGTCAAGGTTCCTCTGTGTGTCTGGCTGTGCTGTAACACTCACTGTACTGTTTTGTGTCAGTGAACCAGCCTCTTTCACTGCCTGTGACCAAAACACTCACTCAGGCCCACTGGGGTTCAGTCATACAGTCGTTAGAAAACGTGGGGCCATGTCGCAGTGCTAATGTTTGAGCAAGTGACCTGTGTGTTCATTTTCAAATGATTTGCCACCATAGCTATGGAATGAAATCAAGTGATCCTTTGTCGGTTTATTTAGGCATATCACAGGGCTTATGCAATTTTTTTTAGAATTAAATGTAAAAAAAAAGGAAACGATAAATACACTTAGAACAGAATGTCACTTGAATCTTTCAGCAAAGGAAAACAAGAAGAGGATATAGTATGGAAGGGAACAAGGTTGAGTTTTCAGATGATTATTTTCTTGTGCCAACCTTATCATTTTTTTCCAGACTCATTAGTTCTTTTAAAGTACCTCTATGCAACATAGATGTGTTTGAATGCATTTCTGTTTTGGAATTAAATGATTTCCCTTAAAATATGTCTATAGTAAATAACTTTCATTTATACATCACTGAGAGAAAATATTGAATACAAAGTAAATGTATAATTTTTTTAACTGATTTTAATATATATTGTTGTTAACAGCTGTTTATATCTACATGGAGCTTGTGCACTTTATTATTACATATCATTTATTTTTCTTGTTTCGTTTTTAACTGTCATGACATGCAAGATTATGTGTTTTGTGTTTGTGCACTGAAATGAACAGAATCGTGGAGCATGTGGTGGCAGAGAATATTGTGGTGTCCATTTTTTATCCACGTGGCAAAAGAAAAATATGTGAACACGTTGGGGTTCCTATACACGATGCACAAACTGGGGAGAAATCACCCTCACCACATCACGCTTGTAGTCAGAACAGACGATGTACAAAGTACAGTTAAAAAAAGACATATTCCCTCAGTGCTCAGTCATGACTGTTTAGCCCCTCGTGTTTCATTAGACGTTCTTCGAGCTAAATACTGTTTGTTTGTTCAGATCAGATGTTGCCTGTAATTGTGAATCCATCCATGTGCTGTTGTCCTGAGGGGTGTGAATGTGACTCAAGTCCTTTGACATGTACATAAAGTGTTTATTTTCTACAAAGATTGAATGTTTATATTGTCCAAAGTTTGAGCATGTGAGTGTCGGGAAAAAAATCACAAAAGACTTAATAATTGTACAGCAATGCGTGTCTATAGTTGTGTAAGGGGAGTTGACTGTGTAATCAAAACATGTGCTGTCAACCAATGACTGTCTGTGCAACCACGTCCTGTAAACGGCTGAAACAACACAAAGGGGGAAAAAAAAAAATCAACTCAACTTCAATAGTTATCTGAGACTTTATGTTTTGGATGTTGCATGTTCTGTTGATGGTTTGTCAGTATATTTTGCCTAAAGATTATGTTTAAAAGAGACAGAATATGTATAGATTTATCTGTATGCTGACTGTAAAGAATTATGCTCACTTCAGTGTAAAAACAAAGAATCTAATGTTATGGTTTTGTGGTTGTACACAGGATGTGTTGAGATATTATGCAAAATGTGCTGTAAAAAAATTCAGCTGTCCCCCACCCCCCCTGAGTCTAAAGAATAAATATTAAGAAGAGCTATATTACACATGTGGGTGTGAGCTTGGTTTGTTTCTGACATTTTGACTCGTCATAGCAAGAGTAGCAACAGAATGTTCTTGATACTGTCACTAGGTGGTGCCAAAGTGATTCACTGTGGTTGTATTGACAAAACATTTT